CTCTCCCAAGTGAGAGGAAAGTACACTGGAACTTTAGAAGTGTCCAAATTGGGGTTTCAAAAGGAATCCCTGATGAGTTTCATGGTGCATCTCTGAGTGTGTTTAAAGGGTATGATTTTTAAAACTGGTTTGCATTTGAGCATGCTGGTGGGTACACTGGACAAGGGCTGCTTTCCTAGTACAGAAATTGGGCATTGTAGTTATGCACCAATAGTTACTGAGAAGCCGTTTGTGAGGAAGATGATGGAGGTGGAGGTGGTGGTGAAAAAGAACTAAGGTTTCCTTGACGAAGTCACCTGCCTGTTGCCCACGAGATAGTTACCTGAAGTACCTTTCTTAGACATTGGACACAGTCCCAGCTGCTTTGTTACTTGCGTTTATTTACATATATGTGTAATACATTTTCTTCAATAGCAAATAATAAGATGAATTGTAAAGGAGCCATATCAGAGATAGCTACTCCTAGTAAATTCAGTATCTGGCCATAACTGAACAAAAATGGGTTCTACTTTATTGTTTTATAGTAGGTATATAAAAGCATAAATATTTCTTATTTTCTAAAAGGAGGCAGCTTAGTGTAGTGGTTAAGAGCATGCACACTAGATTAAATTTGTCTAGGTTCATATTCAGACTTTGCTATTTACTAGTTTTGTAATTTAGTCATGTTATATATTATCTTTGTGCCTCAGCTTCCTCTTCAGTAAAGTGGATAATTTCAGAAACATTATGGTGAACATAATAACTGTGAAGATGACAGGGCTTCAAACTGGCTCAAAGTCATCATCATAAACAAAGGGCATGTATGAGTTGCATCTCATCCAGGCCTGTGACCAAGGTGTGGACCCAAGTAAGAAGCAGACAGCTGGTCCCCCACTCACAGATGTCAGCCAGCCACGTTGCTTTGAATGTGTACTCTTTTCCTGTGTTTGGCCAATCATGTTGGTCTCCAAAGTATTGCCACAGTCCTTCCTCCTAAGAGTTTCAGTAGCTTCAGACAGGATTTTGGATAACTGGCAGGTCTTTGGAGAGCAACAGACATTCAAATAGGAGAGGTGGCTGTCATATGTGAGCAGGGCAGCAGATTCAGTGGCCATGCAATTCTGCAACTCATACACAGCGCCTGTTAGCAATGGCAATTACTGAAGCATTTGGAAGTAATTTGAAGCCCTAGAGGGTGAATGTGATAATCAAAGCAGCTTGTTTAGGACAGTATCAGACATATAGTATGGGCTCAATTAATGGATTATTTTGATTGTTATTTTCCTTTTTAACTTGCAGAAGTCTTGAAATCTCTGACCCCAAAGTCTGAATGTCTACCATCTTGAAAATATTTTCCATAACTATAGCTTTATATATAAGCTTTTAGAAATTTCACTAAGCACATGCATGTTTAAGCAAATTAATTTACCGGTTTGTAAGGTCAATAGTAGGCCCCGTGTCAATTGCAATTCGTAGCAAACCTGTAGGACAGAGTAGAACTGCCCCATAGGATTTCTGAGACTGTACATGTAGGTAGGAGCAGACAGCTTCAACTTTCTCCAGCAGAGCAACAGGTGGGTTTGAACTGCCCACCTTGCAGTTAGCAGCCCAACTTTTAATCCCTTGTGCCACCATGGCCTCTCAATGGTATAGAAGATACCATTGTTTTATACCCATAATCCAACTAATATAATTTTATACATATTTCTTTTTTTTTAATTTATACATATTTCATATTTTAATTTTACATGTTTTATGAGGTCTAATTTTTCTCCAGCTTGCGAGGTCAACTAAAATTATTGCCTACCCATCCCCACAAACCCAGCTTGAATTGCTTATGATATTGAGATGAATTCATTAGAGCAGAGCCCAAAAGTAAAGCTGTGCTTTGTTAATTAAGCTGCTCTCTCCAGTTGATCTTTTTTCCTGTGATGCAAATCCATTCTAAATGCTGTATTAACATGATTTAAAGTTATACTCCTATTAACGGGAGGAGGATCCCTGGTGACATCATGGTTATTAATTGGGATGTGATCTGAAAGGTCAGCAGTTCGAAACCATCAGCCGTTCCTCAGGAGAAAGATGGGCTTTCTATTGCTGTACATAGTTACAGTCTTGAAAACTTACAGGGATGGTTCTACCCTGTCCCGTAGGGTTGATATGGTTGATATGAGTTGGAAATGAATTTTATTAAGGTGAGCATTAAGATATACACAATATATCTGTATTGAAAAAGAATGTAATTTAGTTGATTTTGTTTAGTTTTTTTAGTTTTTTACTTATTGTTTGTAAGTATCTTTATTTACCCTTCGATATGTAAGAAAAATACATTCACAGTGGTTACTAGTGGCAGGCTGGAGGGAAGAAAAGGGACATTGCTTCTATAGGAGACATTGAGCTTCTGTTAAAGGTGTTGGAAGTTTGTAGATATGGATACTAGTTATGGTTGAAGAACATAATAAGCTGATAAACAAAATGTTATGGAATTGTACATGTGAATAATGTTGAAATAACAAAGGCTCTGTTACAAATATATTTACCACTATTAAAGAGAAGAGTAATTTGCAGCATCAGGACTGAGAGATGGTTTAGTTGCTCATGTGTTGCATCTTTCTGTATACATTATTTTACCATTCCATGTTCTCATTTTCCCATTGTGAAGTTAGGCCTTATTTAATTACCTGTAATAAGGGTTTACAAGCTTCTATATCAGAGGATTAAGAGATCTATTTTGTGGGGGGGAAAGTCAAATTATTATCATTAGGGGATTACTAAGAAAAATTTGGGCTGAACTTCAAATTCCTGTCTTTCTAACAATGTACTCCTTTTTTTTCTTTCTGCTTTAAAGTTTACTGTTAACTTTCTACTTTCAGAAATCAGAAAGGCATTGGCAGGGCCGTGCTCCCCCTATGGGTCATATTCTTTTTCCCTGATGACAGACTTTGTATCGCCAGAACACTCTAAGCCAGCTGTCTTCAAGTTGATTACAACTCAGGGCAATCCCATAGATGTCAGAGTAGAACTACACTCCACAGGGGTTTCCACGGTGATGATCTTCTGCCGTTGATTGTCAGGATGTTTTTCCACATCACTTGTAGGTGGACTTAACTATCAAACCCATCATCAACCATTTATACTATTCTGGGGCTCTCAGAGACTGTTTTCTCACCATTCATTTCACATTTCTCAGAATGCTCACTTTTTCATTTGTCCTGCCCAAGTTTTAGAACAAATTTCATAGTTATTTGATCTCTTTATTGGGGAGAATGATCTCTCTGTTGGAGAGAACTTTATAGTTATTCAATCTCTCTAATGGGGAATAATCCTGGGGTAGGTATCATTTGCTTATTTGCAACTGCATGGTGCAAACTGTTGCTGGGAATAGGGTGTTAAGAATAAGATATTGAACTGTGATGGGGCTTGATACTTAGTGCAGGTGTCTGCACCTTGGGGAATGAATTAGCCGATATGAAGGTAAGTTGCAAAGTATTGCTACAAATAATAGACAACTTTATTAATACAAAATATAAAAGTATGAAGCAGTTGATTCTCGACATATCATCAGTCTAGGTTTATGCACTTCTGAGGGGATGTTTTCATTTTTCTGGCCCATCCCTCGCAGGGGCAAGGTTTGCACTACATCAAAATGTCAGCTTTGCCTTCTTCCAAGGGACTCAAATTGTGCCCCTTTCAATTTTTTTTTCTAGTTTTCGGGAAAAAATTACCTGAAGATCAAGAACAGGGCTGTAGGATGGAAGGTGTAAAGTTTCTCATAGGGGCCCTTAAAGAATGGACAGGTATTGTGATGTAAAACATTCCTATCTTAATCTATTAAGATTAAGAACCCATTTGGAGTTCCCAAAGTCACCAGAACCTTTTGAGCTGACTTTTTTACCTTGAATTCACCCTTGAGGTCTTCCTAACCTTCCGTAAAATGTTTGATCCGTCCAAGAACCTCCTTATGTAGGGCAGTACTTCTGTGAATTTGCTGCAAAGCTTCAATGATTTGTAAAGGGTCCACTTGAATTTGGTGACAAATTTGATATTAGCTCTGACCTCAAGGTTACTTATTTTCTATGGGACAAGAAAGTATCCTCTTTTTTGAAGGTACCCTCATAAGAATAAGACAAATGATATCCTAAGAGAGCTTGTCAATGGCTGTCCATTGGTCACAGAGATAGGGCTAAACGAGTTTGTTTAAAATAAGCCTTTGTTTGTATGATCTGGAACGCTATTTACTTTCTTGTATGAAGTTTATAATCTCCTATCTCTTT